TGAGGATGCATGGTGGTGGTGTAGTCCCGATTCTGGAGTGCTCAGTGTACCAGCCAAAGTGCATCGGAGGTCTCGCCAACAAGCAACAGCGGTACCGTACATGCCCGACAATTTCACGACCGGGGCGGCCAAGTTGCAAATGGATTTCGAACTTGGCCTTTAAATTCTTCCCCATCGATCGAGCCATGTGATGGACGACAATCGAAGGGACGATTTATAGTAGCACAAGCAGCAGCGCTTGAACTCGACGTGGAACTGGCCCTCAAGCAACGGACTAGTAACTACGTAGAGGGTGACAGATCATGGTTTGAATTCCTAAGCTTAACGTTACTCCGATTGACTCACGAGGCTCAATAAAATTGCTGATAAACGCTATTAATATTACATAAATGACGTGGGCAACGCTGGGCCTTGTCGCTTGTCGTCAACCCACACTCGTTGAGGCAATGCGTTTCCGTCGTGAAACCATTCCGGCGTTTCCATGTACAGTAGTACAATAGGAGCTTCGATCCCTCAATCCATTTTCAAGGAACAAACCTGTCGCAGCACCACAGCTTACTTCTTAAACACATGCGCCTTGGAAATGGACTCGAGTGGTGCAATATGAGTGCCGTGGTTGCCTCTTCTTGAACTTGACCTCCGTGAAAGAGACAGTGGTCGACACCTCGATGCTCTTCTGGAGAGCATCGAATCATGACCCACCCGTTGTCGCAACGTTTTGATTTGATTGGCTCATAATAACGCAATTTGATTGGCCAGAGATATAAATTCGCTTTTCTGCCAGTTGGCAGTTTCGAATTTGCGACGATGTCGTTGACACTGTACTGCGCCATTGTCAACGACGGCAGCACGATCAAGGTGGAGGTTCATGCGAGTGCTTCGGTGGCCGAATTGAGAACGAAGATCGCGGAGAAGATGCAGTACACATTCCCTGATCATGAGCTGACACTCTACCTGGCGAAGTTGCCCGACGGCGAGTGGCTGCAATGGAGTGACGAGGCCGTTGGCAAGTTGAGGACACATGAGGTGACTGGAGTTATTAAGTCCCTGCTGGCCAACAAACAAATGGACTCGACTTCTCAATTGGACAATCCAGCATTCAACTTCCCCTCATCCGGCTCCCAGCAAGGTAGACGAATCCATGTCTTGGTGCGTGTTCCATCCGCGCGATGGGAC